TTTTTTGTCCTTTCCTTTTCATTTACATTTTAGTTAAGTGAAACAATTACAAACGGCTTTAATTTCTTATTGTGCAGTTATCACGCACCCATACGGCTTCTCGTGTGCCCCATTCTTTCATTTCCCGATGACTACGACTTCCGTAAGGAACTTGGGCAGGGGACCTTTTGCCATTAGGCAGCCTCACAAGAAAGTCTTACCCAGTATAATTTGTCCGTCAAATGCAATGAAGGCTGCTATCACCGCGCGGAAGTCACGTCAATGCAGATTTGTTCTAGAAGGCCTGAACGCCATCGACCCAAACCCTTAATATTTGCTTTGTAAGACTGAGTCAAAGAGGCTGGACGTAGGTTTGGTCATAGTGACTGTTCTGATCCAAAATCCGCCGTCCACGCCTACCGTTTGGTCTCTCTATACACCCTTTCTGTTCAATAAATCAGATGACCGCCCTACGCTGCTTTTGTGTGTCACCTTTACAGGAAGGAAATCGGCGGTCTAGAGACGGGATCCCAGGTCCAGCAGGACACTCTGACCACTGTCACCTCCGTGTCGAGTCATACGCCGGCCAAACGACGCCTGGCACAGTCAGTGGCCAATTTTGCGCGTAGATTTGTACAGACTCGTCTCCATCCGCTCCGAGCACTTCCAACGGAGGAAGAATATCAACGCCTAGTCGAAACACGAAGTAGACGTCTGTCTGAAACCGTCAGAGCCACTGCAAACGCCAACTCCTTGGCACAGTCCTATTCTGTGAGCTGCTTCCTATACCTCCCTATTTTTTTATCCGCTGAGTCTGTAATTTGTGCTCTGTGAAAGTACATACTGGTCCAAGGTATCATTAACCTGCCGCTCAAAACCTCCGCCCTCCCTCAAGTTTCCACTCAAACTGCACAATTATATGGTGTCACTGGGGTGCTTGTCGATCACGTTACGGAACACACTCGGCCCGCTCGGAGCCCAATCTCGAGCCCGCTAGCAGCCCTTCAGCGACTAATAGGCAGAATGACTACCGATAAATAAAAGGCAGACTACAATGTCCATTTATGGCTTATTAGCCGTCGTCAGCTAGTCATATTAATCCTCGGGCGTGGAACTCCTGGGATCATTGGTTCTGGAGTCCAACGCCCTAATCATTGAGCCATCGGCTGGTTGTCTTGTCGGTTGCGATTGGGTATGTAATCGATGATAGTGGGGCGCTCACCGATTACGTTACGGAACGCACTCGGCCCGTTTTGCCTTACAGCTCAGTCTTGAGTCCCACCAACAGCCGCTCAACGGCGAATATGTCATAGGTAGAAACAAGTTACGACGGCTACTAAGCCAGAAATGGACATTCCAGTCTGCCTTGTCTTTGTTTGTAATGTCGTTCTGCCTATAATGCACTAGTCGCTGAGCGGCTGCTGGCGGGGTTCGCGAATGCGCCCCCAAGGTACAACGGGGCAAGTGT